AAGGAATCCAAAGAGGACCACACCAAGACACATCATAATCAAAATGCCAAGAGCAAAAAACAAAGAGAGAATCCTAAAAGCAGCAAGAGAAAGAAACTCAGTTACCTACAAGGGAATACCCATACGACTGTCAGCTGATTTCTCAACAGAAATTTTGCAGGCCAGAAGGGAGTGGCAAGAAATATTCAAAGTGATGAATACCAAGAACCTACAACCCAGACTACTTTATCCAGCAAAGCTATCATTCAGAAGTGAAGGCCAGATAAAGAGCTTCACAGATAAGAAAAAGCTAAAGGAGTTCATCACCACCAAACCAGTATTATATGAAATGCTGAAAGGTATCCTTTAAGAAGAGGAAGAAGAAGAAAAAGGTAAAGATACAAATTATGAACAACAAATACACATCTATCAACAAGTGAATCTAAAAATCAAGTGAATAAATAATCTGATGAACAGTATGAACTGGTGATTGTAATAGAATCAGGGACATAGAAAGGGAATGGACTGACTATTCTTGGGGGGGAGGGGTAAGGGGTTTGGGGGTGAGTGAAGAGATTAGACAATAATCGTGCACCTATGGATGAGGACAGTGGGTGGGGAGTGAGAGCGGAGGGTGGGGTGGGAACTGGGTGGAGGGGAGTTATGGTGGGAAAAAAGAGTAACTAATGTAATAATCTGAACAATAAAGATTTAATTTTAAAAATAAATAAATAAATAAAAATTACCTTTTCATCCTCCACTCTCTCTACCCATTACCCTCATGCAGGAAGATAATCCCCTGACCCTTAGTGTTACACAGCTGTTTATGTGACTTTGAGGATGTTCATATGTCACAATGGACAGGTACTCATTTACTCAAAACTTACTAAGCGTTAGGAAGCTGATCCCTCCTAGACCATGAGGCTACTGGATGAGTGGAACCCAGCCCCTGCTCCCAGGCACACAGATTCATGAAAGAGATGGCCACATAAACAGATGATTATTAAGCAGGTGGTAAGTGCAGTGATGAATAGTGGGCATAATGAAGTGAAAAGCACAAAAAGTGAAAAGGAAGCCAGTATGGGTTTGGTAAGGAGAGGTGGGGTGAAGTGGGCAGTGGAGAGAGAGACAGGAAAGGCCAGAGCCAAGAGATGAGATGGTGGCTGGGGACTGTGCCTGTACAATCTCATTCTTCCTTTGGGGCCTTCTCCACTAACAGCCCTGCCTTCTCCCTGCATTCCTGTGCCTTCTTCCTTCCGCACCACGTTCCCACAGATGCATGGCCCTGGCTTGGCTCTGCTCTCCCCACGCCTGGCGTCCTTCCTCCTCCTCCTCCCTACATCCAGCCTTGAGAGCATACAGCCTTGGAAAATATGAGCATCCAAATGAGGAGGAGATGGAAAAATAGTAGAGAGCTTCCTCTCTCCTTCCCCAGGACCAGCACATGGGGACAAGCAGAAGAGCGCAATGTTTCTTCACGCTACTCAGAGCAGCACACAGTTTAGCACATGAGTTGTTTATTTCTGGAATTTTCTGTTTACTATTTTTGGACTACTGTTGACCAGGGATATCTGAAACCATGGAGAGTGTGATCTTTCAATATAGAAATTAAAATCTTTAATTCCAGGAAAATCTTGAGTTTTAATTTTAAATGTTTTCTTTTCCAGGAATTTGTTTTTCCCCTCTTTGGGATATCCAAGTAAATATGTTATATCTCCTTAGCCCAACCTTTATAGCTATTATTTTCTCTCTAAATCATTTTAAACTTTATTGAGAAATAATTTATATACCATAAAACTCACCCACTCAAAATACATAGTTCAACCCACTAACCATCAACACAATCAATTTTAGGACCTTTGTATCACTCCCAAAAGAAACCCCATACAATTAGCAGTCACTCCCCATTCCTTTATGCACCCAGATCCTGGCAACTACTAATCTACTTTCTGTCTCTATAGACTTGCCAATCCTATATATTTCATATAAATGGAATCGTACAATATCTGGCCTTTTGTGGATGGCTTCTTTTACTTAGCATAAATTTCCAAGATTTATCATATTGCAACATACTTCATTTCTTATCACTGAATAGTATTCATCAGGTGATAGGCACTAGGGTTGTTTTCACTTTTTGGCTGTTATGAATAGTGCTGCTATGAACAGTCATGTACACGTTTTTGTATAGACATGTGATTTCTCTTAGATATATACCTTGGAATAAATCTTCTGGTTATATGGCAGCTTTGTGTTTGACATTTTGAGGACTTGCCAAACTGTTTTTCAAAGTCACTGCACCATATTTTATTCCCACTAGTAATGTATGAAGGTACCAATTTCTCTAAATCCTTGCCAACAAACATTATTAATCTGTTTTTATTATAGCCATCCTAGGGAGAGTGAAATGATATCCCACTGTTGCTTAAATTTGCATTTTCACGATAGCTAATGATGTTGAGCACGTTTTCATGTTTTATTGACCATTTGTATATCTTCTTTGGAGAAATCTCTATTCAAATCCTTTGCCCATTTTTAAATTTATTTATTTGTATTTTTACTATTGAGTTGTAAGTGTTCTTTGTATATTTGAATATGAATCCCTTATAGATATATGGCTTGTAAATATTTTCTCCCATTCTGTGTATTGTCATTTTCACTTTCTTCATGGTATCCTTTAAAGCACAGAAGTTTAATTTGGTGAAACCCAATTTATGTATTTCTTTATTCTTTTTGCTTCTGTTTTCGGATGTATATCCAAAAAATCCTTGCCTAAGCCAGATCATGAAAGTTTATTCCTATGTTTTCTTCTAGGACAGCGGTTCTCAACCTGTGGGTAGCGACCCCTTTGGGGGTTGAACGATCCTTTCACAGGGGTTGCCTAAGACCATCAGAAAACACATATATAATTACATATTGTTTTTGTGATTAATCACTATGCTTTAATTATGTTCAATTTGTAACAATGAAATTGGGGGTCACCACAACATGAGGAACTGTATTAAAGGGTCACGGCATTAGGAAGGTTGAGAACCACTGTTCTAGGAGTTTTTTTTAGTTTTAACTCTTCTATTATGGTCTAGGATACATTTTAAGTTAATCTGTGTATGGATTAGGGTAGGAGTCAAACTTCACTCTTCTACACGTGGATATCCAATTGTCCCAACACCATTTATTTTTAAAAAAAAACATTTTTTTCCTAGCCACCTTATTTCTATTTCCTGTTCCAATTTTGCTTTTGTTTGCCACCATAGCTAATTAACATTATGCTCATTTCCATTTTCTCTTCAGTTCTATTATGTTCTTACTTAGACTGACATAAAAGGGAGATTAAATAAACATTCTGCTTGATTAAGTGGGGGGTCAGAGTGAACACAGATGCGATGAAGAATGCATATGAGCACAGAAGATAGTTTCTGAAAAAAAATGAATTGCCCCCACTGGCTGAAACAGAGAGAACATGTGTGGCCTTGTGGTGACATCGAAATAGGATTTGTAAATGTTTGGAATGTTTAGAAGCAAATTGTGGATAGTCTTTGTAAGTCTGGTCAAGAAATTTACATCTTATCCTAAAAGGAATAAAGAGCCAAGTTTGAAGAATGAACTAATGAATGGCTGAGTAAAGAGGTGATTTAGGATAGATTACTACTACTGCTGCTGTTACTACTACTACTAACAGCAACAACATACAGGCAAGAAAACCAGTAAGCAATCTTTATAGCAGTTCAAAGATGAGGTCAGTTAGGCTTCTTATCAGAATCATTGCAATTGGAAAGACTAGAGAAGATACTTTTTAAAAATCAATTTCAAAATGAAAGGTTAAGAGTTAAGGTGGATAAAAATGAAGGCTGTGAAAACTGCATTCGAATTGATTATTAAGAACTCACTGTTGTCTTCAAGATTTCAATTTTGGTTCATCAGTCAGGGTAGAAGCTCAATGTTGTTATACTGAAGATTAGATTATGAGAATATAAAAAATAGCAAGTACAGAGGTAAAGGCAAGCATAATACCAGCCCAGAGTCAAGTGTGGGAGAGGACTTCACTGCCACTTATTGATGAGACCAATTGTATAGATTTTACGGCCATTTTTAACCCCTCAAAAAGGGATTAAACCAGTGGTTCTCAACCTTCCTAATGCCTCGACCCTTTAATACCGTTCCTCATGTTGTGGTGACCCCAAATTTCATTGTTACAAATTGAACATAATTAAAGCATAGTGATTAATCACAAAAACAATATGTAATTATAAATGTGTTTTCTGATGGTCTTAGGCGACCCCTGTGAAAGGGTCGTTCAACCCCCAAAAGGGTCGCGACCCACAGGTTGAGAACTGCTGGATTAAACAAAATTCCATCTATAAAATGCCTGCAATCGTTTGTGGCCCAAAGCAAATAATTTCAAAATATTAATTGTTGTTATTATTAGCGTTTTTTTTCCAATTAAAAAAATACTTTTCTTGGGTAAAGAAGTGTACGTTTTTCTTTAGATGATCTGGAAAATCAAAAATATGTAAGACAAACAAAAATCTATATGGGATTCTTTGAACTAGTAATAAATGCCTGAACATATATGTCATATAAGAATTTGAGGTGTTTCACAGAAAATATTTCATTGAAACATGATCCATTTGGCAGACCTGGAGTAAGGAGAAAACAAAAGAAAAATTGTAATGGTATAAAATTTAAAGTGCCCCACTTACAAAGTTTAGAAGATTTAAAAAGTGCTTCCCTGGCCCTAGTTGGTTTGGCTCAGTTGATAGAGCTTTGGCCTGCGGACTGAAGTGTCCCGGGTTCAATTTCGGTCAAGGGCACATGCCCGGATTGCAGGCTCGATCTCCAGTAGGAGGCATGCAGGAGGCAGCCGATCAATGATTCTCTCTCATCATTGATGTTTTTATCTCTCTCTCCCCTCTCCCTTGCTCTCTGAAATCAATAAAAATATGTGTTTTTTTAAAGTGTTACCCTCTCCTTTGTATTTTATCTGACTTTTGCTCTTTCATTTCATCTTTCTTCGTATTGATTTTTTAGGAATTAGAGAGTAAAATCCCAGCACAATGTTCACCAATAGAGACGCTGATTCAAGTAATGATGATGTGGAGGCCGAGTTTCCCAGGTGTTCGGTATGTCCCCCTAATGCTATAACATGCACAGGAAACTGTGCTTTCGAGAATTATAAGAAGAACTATTAAGTACCCAATGGCATGCCATGTGGGGGGCAAAGAGAACGCAAACATTTCACTTCTGTGACTTAGCCTTCCTTGGCACAGCAAAATACAGCTCCTCTGTGGGCAGGGGATCCTGAGTGCTGACTTGTGTTTGTGCTCATGGTAATGCGTTTGAAAGAGCCATTGGCCAACTCAGCCCACTTCCTATTTGTTGCTCTTGACTAGAATTGAAGGGAAACTGCATTAGGCTAAATGACACACGTTTGGGCTCTCACTTTGGCCTTTTTGCCCTTCCAATTCAATGACCTAAGAAACTTCTTGGGAATAATGGGATTTGCAGGCAGAATGCTCTAGCAAATAAAATTTTATCCCTTTAATACAGGATTTTAGATAGAGAAGGGGGACTCTGAGGGGACATTTATTGTCTTTTCTGCCAACAATTCTTCCCAAACACTCCACAAATGTCACCATTGACTTTGGTAAAATATTCCAGTTAAAAGGGACAATTACAGCTTCATTCGCACAGTGTTCCTAAATATGCCAAGCCCCTCGGTCACCAGAATGAAGCTTTGATATCTAGATGATCTGGCTCCCTTTCTTCTTTCAAAGAAATCTAGCCTTACCCAAAACAGACTTTGCAAACCCCCACAATTGCGTCTCTCCATGATAACTCACAGAATTGTAGAGTTGGAAAGATCCTAAAGACTTTGGAAACCAGGCTCATTTTGCAATGCAGCCTTTCAGTGATGTGTCTAAATACTACCTCTTTTGGGGAATGAATCTGAGACTTGTCCATCTAGTCTCTGTTCCGCATTGCCACCATTGACTTGGCTTAGCTAGGCAACAATATCTTCCAAAGACAGATGCTTCTGTTTGCATGGTTACTTGTTATGCTCTTTGTTTTAGGGTTTGCGGATCTGCCAGGCAATCACCATTCATCAATCTCATGACTTCCCACTTTTTCCCCATAGCTGCCAGAATTATATGCACTGGCTGAGAATTTTCATAAGGAGAGCAAAAAATCAAATCACCTAAAAACTTTTGGTATTTCACCAACTGAAGCACGGAGAACACTTAGTCAAACCCTGAATGCCATGGCACCCACTAGCAGAACTGATTTGGGAGAAGATTCCCAACCTGTTTTCAAGATCAAGGTGACTAGAAAAGATAAGGAGAAGCCACCATCAATGACTGAACTCCTACATCGCAGCTTACTGACCGGCTCGCCCTCTCAAGTAGACCAGCTGGGGAAATCCCAGGAGAGACTTGCCTACTATGGGATCCCTCCTCCCTTGCACACTTTTCCCTATGAGATTATCCTCAGTGAAACCAACCTTTCAGGCACACAGAAGAAGTTTTCAAGTGCCAGGAATTTATCCAAGATAAGCATTCCCAAGATGAAGGCAGACAAGATTTTATTTGAAGATAGAATTACTGAATACTCAATAATTGAACCAGGTACTCTAAACATGGTGGGAGAAAAAGAGTGGAAATCTTACTAGAAAATTTACCTAGATTTCTAGAGTTGCAAGTGTCAAATATTGATCGATGGGAATATTAGCGTTCTGGTGCTCTGCTACATGTCAAAGCAATGGGAAATGCAGAGCTCTAGCAAACATCCCAGGGTCAAGTCCCAGACTCGTTCCCAAAAGTGGTGTATTTAAACTTACTTTTCTAAAATGAGCCAGTTCAACTTGACCTCTAAAGCACCCATAACTATTTGTTTATTGTTTCATGAAGTTAGTCAAGTATTTACTGAATAATGACTTATCGTTCTTAAATATCTTGATTTTCCTTCAATTGAGGGTTGTTTTTTTAAAGATTTTTTTCATGAACCTTTATACTTTCCTATTGCTACATCTCTACAAAGAGAAGGAAACTCTCCAGTTCTGATACTTTAATAAGTAAATACCCATAAAAGTCCAAAGACCATACAGGGAAAGTCAATAATATGTCATAAAACATATGTTGGTAAGTTATAAAGAGAAGAGAATATTCCTAAGGTCTCCATTTTTCCTATGTAATTTGAGGAAAGTCATATTTTGTCATTCTGTGTAGCTATAAAAAATAGATTAAACTAATGATATAAAATATTCAAACTTTTCTAAAATAGGTTCTTGACCCAAGATAAAACCATTTGCACAGCAAATATTATGACATCACAATTTTTATATTAAAAGTAGTAGGAAAGATGGGAACAAAGTTAAAGGAATAGACCAATCACTCTGACCAATACAGTATTTGGCCCAAGATACTGGAAGAATCTTTGCTCTCATTCCCCACATTGATACCTTGACACAGGTTTCAAATTCCTTTGATAGAATCATACAAGTGTATTGGATTTCAGGCAGAAGTAGAAATTAAGGCGATTGTGGAATGGCCTACATAATCCACAAAACTGCACAGCTAAAGTTTTGGGACCAGAGAGGAAAAAGCCAGGAAAGTGCTAGGATCAATAATAACTGGCAAAAAGCCTACTGAAGAAGTGCTGAAGGCTTTGGATGTTTGATGATGGGTCTTGAACATTTATGGCTTTGCCACCCACAGGGGCTGAATTGTCCTTCCTCCCTAATGCATGGATTGCCTGCGGTCTATCTAACCCTGGAGGTCTCTCATGTGCCCTTCTACACTGACTCAGTCTCTTCTCTGCCTCCATGACCTCATTTTTTTGAGATCCTAGCTATAAAATTTCTGAAGCATGTCCTGTCTATTCAAGGAATATGCATGAAGCCAGATAGGCATCCATATGAGAAATATCCAGTAATTCCTTAGGTTTAATTGATATTGAAACATTTCACCTTTTACTGTCCTACATTGCCCAATATTACTATCATTTCATCAGCCAGCTAGTGCCTGAAGTCTACTCAGTCCAGGAAAATTTTAAGACTCCTGGTATACCAAAGGATAGTATTGAACATATCTTTACTAGCACCAAGCACTAGAGGAGGAAAAGGGAGTGGTGCTGCCATTTTTCTTCTCCTAGCTTATGAGCAACTCTTGCTCAGGCTAAACCCTATAGGTTAGGCATGTGACCAAAAATAGGGGTTATTTTTCCTATGTAATTAAAAGCCTGGAGGTGGGCAAACAAGGGTGGGAATAGTGTTTTGATGTCATTGAGACTTCAGGCTCCACCATCTTTTTCTGTATGGCTTTTGTCTTCATGGCCAAGATAAGCTTCCTTCCCTTCCAGGAACTATGACCACATCCCAGGCTGGAAGAGGGAGATGGGACAAAGGCCCACCTTGGCTAGTTTGATCCTCTTTGAGTAGGAAGCAAAGCTTCTTAGAACATACATCCAAAGGTGACTTCTCCTTGCATTACATTGTCCAGACCTGTGCCAATAGCAACCCTTACTGCAAGGAAGGCTGGTGAATAGAATTCTGATCTTTCCATCCCCTATAGTAGAGGAAGGCAGAAGAAGATCGTAATGGGTCTGGAGTGACCTAACCTATAGTGTCTACCACAGATCACAACATAAAGCTCTTTAGTAATCAAAATAATCAATTCTATGGCCTTCTTTTGCCAAATATTCCTTTCCTGTGCTTTCTTCTATCATCAATTCTTTCTATGCCAACCCTGCCAAGATTTGTCAAACTCCCTGAAATTTGGCAACTGACCCTGGGGACTAGACTGTTGAACACCATGGCTCAAGGAACAGTCCCTGGCTCCAGTCTCCCACTGCAGGCATGAACAGGATCCTATATAATAAAACCCTAATATGCAAATTGACCAAACGGCATAATGACCAGCCCCTATGATGTGCACTGACCACCAGGGGGCAGATGCTCAACACAGGAGCTTCCCCCTGGTGGTCAGTGTGCTCCCACAGGGTGAGCACCGCTCAGCCAGAAGCTGGGCTCACAGGACCTGCACCCAGGCAGGCGGTAAGGAGCGAGGGGTCTGGGACTGCAAGAGGGATATCTGGTTGCCAAGCTTAGGCCTGATTCCCAGGATCGGGCCTAAGCCAGCAGGTGGACATCTCCCAAGGGGTCCTGGACTGTGAGGGCGCAGGCTGGGCCTTGGGAACCCCCAGTGCACGAATCTGTGCACCAGGCCTCTAGTACATAGATAGATAGATAGATAGATAGATAGATACATAGATAGATAGAGATAGAGATTAGATAGATATAGATAGATTAGATAGATATAGATAGATTAGATAGATATGTATATGGATATAGATATAGATATAGATATAGATATAGATATAGATATAGATATAGATATAGATATAGATATAGATAGATATAGACTTCCCACCAGGTAAAGGCAGGGGTGGTACCTGGGCCATAGGTAACCTTCTCAAATATCACCAAACAGGGAGGATGGTAAAATTACACATGAGAAATAGACCTGCTTGTTTGTTGTACCAATTATTCTCTTTAAACTCCTCAAACTCATCTTGGCTCTTTGGCCTCTGGTTTTACATTCAAGCCCCTTCCTTGGGCCTTGCTTTTTTTTTTTCTTTCAAGTTTACAATTTATTAGTCATGAAAAAAATTGAAGGGAAGGGAAAGAGAAATGGCTGCTGAGTAGGGGAATATGCAGTATATCTTGGTTGTGGTTCATTGGGTTCTTGAAAAAATTGCAACTACTAATCACTGTCCACACTGGTAGGTCCTGAAAGAGAAGGGAAAAGAGCCAAATTCTAGCTAAGGCACTGTACTCAGGGCTTATACCAGCATCTTGGAAGAAGTGACACCAGCAGTGTATATATTTCTGCTAAATCTTCCTCCTTGTTTTCACCACTTGTTAGGATCCTGCCCCCTGTTGACCTCAGTGCTCTGCAGGTCTCTCCACTTGCACATTCTTCATTTCCAAGCACCAAATGAGACACTTTCTCTACCTGTTGTGGCCCTGCAGGTTCCGCTCCAGCCCTGCTAGCCAGACCCACCCAATACATGAGGTGGACACCATAGGTTCCCCTTTAGTTTATAAGGATTCAGAAAAGGCTTTCTACAAGAAGGGAGGAGACTCAAATTAATCAAAGGTTTATTCTGTCATGAAACACCTCTGAATCGCTGAAGGTTAAATGACACCATGTGATTCTTTGAACATCTGGTTCTTTTCAGAAAAACAATTCATGGATCTAAGGGATCTGGAGTGGAAATATTACAAAGGGATCACAAAGTGGACACGCAAAACTTCAGATGTATTTGCAAAAATACAGCACAACAGTGAGAAGAGGTTTGTAAAGAGCAAGGAGATGCCTGGTGTTATTTTCCCCCCACTAGTTCGTAGGTCTTTGGTTGTTTTTCCTCAAATTAATTTTCCACCAAGTTTAACTCCCCTTAAGTGAAATATGTAGTTTATTGAAAATATTTTGGATGCAGATTTTGCTTTTAAAAATTTTGAATTTACACACAAAAATTTAAGAAGCAGATGCACCATGGAACATGGGACCGGATTCTATATGATATGCACATAAGGTCTAAAATTAAACCACAAATATGGAGTAAAAGATCCAAGCTGACCTTCTAGGGTTGGCAGGAAGCACTGAGAAAGAAGTTTCCAGATCACAGCACAGTAAGATAAAGGAGGAAGTTATAAAAGAAGTTGAGGGTAATGGAGTCTAAGTAGAATGAGAAGTTCAGAAATATATCCAAGGGAAATTGCAGAAGGAAATAAGGAGAATGGAGAAAAGATGACACTTGAAAAAAAAATGACTGATCGTTTTCTAGAAATGAAGAAACACATGAAAACTTGCATTGAAAAATCTCACTGAGTGATGAGCGAGAAAATAAATCTACACTTAGAAACGCAGTAGCAGAACCGAAGAGCGTTTAGCAAAAAAAAAAAAAGAAGAAAATATAATCTACAAAAGAGAGAAGATGGATGACAAACAAATGACAAAATGATGGTGAAACTCTCACTAACAACAGAAGTCAGAAGGTGAAGGTTTTATATACTCAATATGCTGACGGAAGTAATTGGCGATCTGGAATTCACTAACCAGCCAACTCTCTTTTAAAAAAGTAAGAGTAAAGCAAATACTTGTTAAAACATAGAAGAGCAAAAACTGTTTACTACCCCTTACTGAAAAAACTACTAGCAAATACATACATTAGCAAGAACCCAGAGGGCGTGCAAGTAACAGGGGTGAGCAATTAAATTCTTCATGCTATGTGATTGTGATTGTGTCGATATTAAAATATATTTCTAAATTCTATTTCCTAACTAGAGGCCCAGTGCACAAAATTCATGCATGGGTAGGGCCCCTGGCCAGCAATCAGGGCTGATCAGGGCCTCCTGGCTGCCGGCCGGGGTCTTCCTTTGTTCTGTGCCACCCCCTGGTGGTCAGTGGATGTCATAGCGAGCGATCGAACTCCCAGTCTCCTGGTCGAATTTCCAAGTGGACACTTTGCATATTAGCCTTTTATATAGAGAGATATTTTAAAAATTCACCTCTATATAAGAAATTATTCTGTGATGTTCATTTTTTTGCACCACTTTTAAACATCAGATTTTGGCTTCAGCATAGTGGATGTCCTCAGCAGAAGATACTGTTTAGCAATTGGTCTGAGGGAGGTTTCTGGGTTCTCACAATAGTCTGGGTTCTTAAAATCTATCTACTCAAGTATGTTCAGTGTGCAAAAATTCCTCAAGCCATACATTTAACAACTGTAAAGTTTTATCATGCATGTTATACTTCACCAAAAAAGGTTTACAAGTTGTGCTACCTTCATAAAATGAATTGGGGCCCTTGCCGGTT